ACTCACCACGTAATCTTCTGCTTTCAATATCTTTGCTTGACAATTATATAACAGAAAGGCTTAATACTATTCCAGTTGAGTTCACTGAGCTCATGTTTCTGACGAATTGCAGGTTCTAAGTCTTGGTCGTTCTCTTGCTGAAGAAAGCAAACGAAAACAGCTGCCTATGTGAGAGACTGTATTTTCACAAAATGTCTTTTTCACTATTCTGAAGAGTACGTTATATAAACTGACGGACAGGCATTTTGTTCATTCGCATTGAAGGATAGCAGTTAGGTTGATTGAATGTCTTCTCACACTACAAGGGTCAAGAAGAAATGACCAACCATATCATTTTTGGTAGACTAATAAAGGAGCGTTTAAAATAGCATTCAATGCATTTTCAATCTGACTGAATTCCCTTCGGTGTCTGCAAGATTTCACCACACATGCACTTACTGAACTACTTAAAAAGTTGAGATCGCTGTGAGTACAGTACATGTGCACACAATTGAATCCAACCAGATATTTGAGAATCGACGACGTGATTGACCCATCGCTGAAATCGTGGTGCAAATCTCCACCGTAGCTAGAACATTTTCAAATGCACCTGGTGAATTCCCGACAATTGGACCTGATTTAAACTCCTCCCCAATTTGCTCGAGGTCCCAAGGGCCTGCCAGCCGGAATCCATAAAAAGAACCGCGGTATTCCTGAACAAGGTCCGTAAAAAAAGTTTAAAGGTCCGAGTTATTCAAAGTTTTCGAACATGTCAATAAGTTTCTATTGGCCTTTAGAAGTCGGTTGGCGAATAGCGCCAGCCGTGCTTGTACAAAGCGCATGTTCACACTACTGTTTTTGTTTCTCTTCCCTACTTTTTTGGTCTTCGAAGCGTCTCGTGCAGGTCACTAGTCATAGTCAATAAATCGAATTGATTGATGGCCGATGATCAGTGATTCAATTCAATTTTCGGACTTTTCTTTAAGCAGGAGGAGTTAAGATCTATGACTTCTACCCTTGCTACCGTACTTAGAACGGCGACCATCAAAAGATAATAAAAGACGGGAAATTTAACTGAAGAACGATTACATGCCAAGAAAGTGACACAGAATATATTAACGTTTTAACGAAATCTGAAGAGGAGGCGGCAACCATTTAACCATTTATGAAGCAAAAGATGAATTTAGATAATCAATTACAGATGTAAGCTGACTTACACAGGGAAGTTACGATCAATGACATTTAAGGATCATTATTATGAAAGTACCTTATCCTGACGCCTACTGTAAGCCAGAGTCAAAATATCGTTGCTCACTATTTTGACAGTCAAGCACTGATAATAGTTTAAAATATAGAGCTTCTGTTTTCAAGGCAGAAAGGTACGTCTCTGAGTGCGTTCTATATGCCCTTATCATTGAATAACTAACAACATTAGAATATTGATTTATTCCAAAGTTTCAGAAATGAGGTGATTCTCTTACTTCGTGTGTACATTTGATTTTAAGCATGTAGATTTGCATGGTTGAAACGCACCCAATTGAGTAAATGAAAAGATTCTAGCTGTCAGGCTCGTAACGAGGCAGGTTTTAAGACAAATCAGTTGAGAAGAAAGATATTCCGGCTATATTCCCGGGGGAATGGATATCGTCTCAAAGACAACTCGATTACACATCATACGGTTTGATCTTTGAACAGGGGACGATGTTGGAATTGGAATTCATTGGCATCTTTTCTTACAAAGAATTTAAGCTACTGCAGTCCACCAGTAAGTGAAAACAAGAGGATAATGGAGTCTTGACGCAATATCGTTTTCTGCATATTTGGTGATAATAATTTTTAGGTATCATGCCAAACGTCGAAAAGTGCATCTCATGTAGTCAGTGCATTCATCTGATCGATATTGGCAATTGTTATCCATGCAGTATTAAGACATAGGCAGCGAGCTGCTTTGCTGCAGACACAGAGACTTCTGTACCACATAGTCAAGAATTCAGGCAAGCTTAAAGTGTCAATAAATTAATTAACCCTCCATTTCAATTTTGGGTAACAAATTTCATTTCAAACCAATTAGCTACGAACGCCTGAACACCTGAAAGGAGAAGCAAGGAAGAATGGATTGCCACAACCGCAAATGCAACGAACGTAGATGAACCTCATACTAATGAGTTGGTACGAATCACACTGAGTCATCTTCCCAGTACAAGACATGGATGCATTTACTGCAGATGAGCGTTCCTCATCTCTGAGGAGAGTCTTCAAACAAAATTATTGAACAGCAGTGAACTCTTCGACGAACAAGAGGCTTGCTAAAAGTTAACCTTAACCTCTCTTCAAAAAATCGATTTTATATTGACGTCCAAAGCTCATATAAGTAGTGCACTTGTAGACTTTTCCTAATAAAATGCCTCAGAGATCAGACATTTTTTATCAAGGGTTAGTTTAAATTGCCCCCGGTGTTTGAAAGAGTTCCTTTTGTGGTCGAACCTCTACCGGCTAATAAGGTAACTACTGCCTGATGTATATTACGTTTTGAAGCGAGACGACACGCCAAATGCTTTGCAAGATTGAAAACAATGTCTACCAAAGAATGACCCTGAATTTTCGATGCTCCTATTTCTAGCTATCTGGTGAGTAAAAGGCACGTCGGATTTTAATGTCCTCTATTTGGATGCTGTCTTTACCTTGAAAGAGGAATAACCACATGAGATATGTGAAACATGTTCACGTTTCAGGATCAAATGTTTCTTCTGTTTTAAGACTAGAGATGCCAAACTATTTTAGAGCTGAGATATAATTTCTGAGTTTGCTAAGGATATATTATGTGCATGAATGTTGTCAAATGACTTGTTGCCAACCATTGTCTGAATTTTGCCAAAGCATTCTTGAAAAATGATATTGTCATTTACATGTCGCGAAAGCAACAAAGTTCCTGATTTGATTTCACTACCGCACAGCTGGTCAGAATCCAAATGTTCGTTTGCTGAAAATCAGCTTCACGCTTGCAGTTGCTATTTAGTGCTCATGACTGTGTTCTTTGGCCATCATGAATAAGCAGACTGGAGGCCACGGTTCATGTTACTCCGTAAAGTGGCCAGAATGAAGTCATTGCTTCTCCTACGTACTTTGTCCAATGAGCTGAGATAACATGGACTATAAGATTTATAAAGATTACCCATTCTTGTATGGGCATTGTTTCTCAGGCTTCAAGAACAAGTTCAGAAACTGCACCACAGGTAGGTTATGACTATTCATTCTAGGAAAGAATGGCTGGAAGAAGAAAATGGAAGTCTGTCACCGTATAGATGTCTGTATCATCTATGATGGGTTTCATTTGTGGCATCGCTCTTTCACGCAGCTCATTCTGTAGCGCTGATCTCTGCTTCTACGGCATTATTCAGAAGTGCTTTTGTTCTGAAGGCAGCGTGTATAGCAACTTGGCAAGCGCATTGTAGAAAGAAACGCCTAAACGACGCTAAATGGATGAAATCAGGAAATATCATGATTCAGTTCCCTGGATTTGCAAGACCGAGGAAGTGCAATAAAGATCAGTTAGTTATCCCCTGAACAAAGGGTGATGTTTACGGTTACATTCGATATGGAACACAACACCCTCCAAACTGAAGTTGGTCAATTCAATGGTCTTCAGGAGGCTGTGTACGAAAATTGGACTATGAGGGACAAGCACGATTTTATTACACAGTACAACAACAAGCATTGCACTTCTTGCTGATTATCACTCTGAACAAGCACCTATCAGATGGGTCAACGCGAATTGCAAAACGCATAATATTGTTATGGATGTTTTCGAAAAGCCTCAAGACCATCAAATGGGTTTAAAGACAATTTATTGTGTATAGCCTTCTTTCTTTCGTTCCATAACGAAATATATGCTTTTCATGACATATTTATCAAAAATATTACATTTCGGATAGTTGATGCTTGTGCCTGACCTGTAATAAGGATGACACAGAAAAATATGAATTTTATTTTAGTACTGCATTCGCTACCACTGTTTACAGCCATGAAAAGTACTTGACTGAACAATAAAACAAAACGGCAATTTTTCTACCAATACTAAAGTGAAAACTGTGTGATTTTGGCCACGTCATGAGAAACAGCTGCAGCTTAAAAATGTACTGAACTAAAAAAGTAAAGTAGGAATACAAAGCTGTTGTGCTGGTTCGGAGTTAAAGCGATTCTTTCTGATCAAAGTGGCAAGCACACAGATTTGAGTATCGAAGTTACACTAAGCAGAAAGCTAAGCATAGACGAAAATCTTACTTCTTATCTTTACCTTTCCCTGACCTCTTATTGCGGTGTAAAGTACTTATCCAAGGTCATCAATGACATTTTCAGTCTTGGTTGGAGTACTATGTTAAGGTATTCTGCGTAACACCCGTGTTTGCAGTTCGATTTGTTAGTCAGAAGAAAGCCAAGACCACAGACTGGATTTTAGTGAAAGTTTTTGATTCTGGATAAATCAACAACAGGTAAACCTTTACAGTACGACCGCTGTGAGGCCAGCCAACAACAGATGATGATAAATGCTCTGGAACTTTCTGCATCTCGACCTCGAAAAAGGAGACAGCTGTACGGTAAGTAGGCGGCTATCAGACCAGGACCAAGCAAAACGAACTGCCGCAGTCATCACTGCTATTAGCGGCATCTGCCTACGCTCCCTCGCAACTTAACACAACTGGCTATACCGGTTAAGTTTGCACTGGAAACACCCCGGAACGAAACGACTACCGAAGCGTGATCAGTCAAGCGAATATGCAAATTTTTATCGGTCACAACGACGAATAGAATTTCGGGGGCGGGCGGGTTCCAGCAACAGGTGACCGCCGCTTGTTGCACGTGCAGGAATGTGGCAGCGGCTGTGTTAAAAGAAGGGAAGGGTGGCGGTGGGCGGTGGGCAGTGGGCGGTGGACGAGTTTTTGTAGTTTCGCTGTAAAAAGGTGACCAACGATGCGGGCCACGACGATGGCGAATAGCGGCGGCAGCGGCGGTGCCATCAAACGATGAGTCAGTCAGTGGGGCAGTCGTCAGCCGTCAACGACGATCATGAGTCACAGTGGCCAGAGAAGCTTGTGTCCGGCGTGTGGCGGCAGCTGAAGAGCAGAGGAGAACAAGAAGAGAGGCCAACTGGCTGTTCGCCGGCCGGGAACAAAGGTGAAAATGGGGCAGGCAGGAGGCAACGGACGACGACATCAACGACTCCAGAGCCAGGCACGCAGCCAGCCGGTTGTAGCGTGCTCCTCCCAGCGCCTACGGCGAGCAAAGCGAATGTCATTGGTGCGGCGGCCTCGATGGTAGTTATGTGGACAGCCGCTCCATCACATGCCCGCCCCCCTGCCGGTCGCTGACCCGTGGACAGTGGACGACGACGATTTATGGATGGCCATCATATCATAACAGCGGTGGTGATAATGAGGGGGACCATCGACCATGAGGCTAGTGTGAGTGAGTGGACAGTGGTCATCGTCGTGGTCGTTTTCGAACACCCGCGGTGGCATCGAACGAGAGCTCCTCCTCGCCTCCCCCACCAGCGCGCACGCGGTCGCGGGACGCCGAGCGCGGCGCGAACAAAAGCCTGTTTACTGCGCGACAAGCTGTCAAGATTTACGAGCGGTAATCCACAAAGCTTGCGGCGGCGCGCACTGATTGGATCGGCGCACTTCAAAGGCGCCATCATGCGCGCAGGGGTCGAGCGATACACAAAAGCGCAGTGCGGAGGGCGGAGCAGCGTCTCTTCGCGGCGACGACGGCGGCGGCGATCGGCACACACCGTCGGCTGGCATTCGTTGTACTCGGTCCGCCACAGACTCTAGCCGCCGCCTCCAGTGTCTTCCTTGTCCTAGGCTCGTAGTCTCACATTGCTCTTATTAAAGTTTGAACCGATAGCCCAGCCTCAGTGTCAAACGCAACTGGTGGTGTCACCTGAGTGCGTGTATCGTCGTTATACGAAGAGGATGAACGCCGATCACCTATTGGCTGCCTCATCGCTATCCAAGAGGGGTCACCTGCATCTGCTCGCTTCCAAGACGGTACGTGTGCCTTACTATAACATACAGTGTGTTTGTGTGTGTGCATTCTTCATATTTGTCGTACGTTGTTCCTTGTTCCAGAAACAACGCACGAACGCTGATCGGCCTTTGTTTCGTCCATGGTGCGACGACTACTGTAGCAGCAGCAGCGGCAAGAAGAGAAAGCTATGCAACAGCGACGATCATCATCGCTACGAGTACTACGACTTCGACTACGAGGACAGTGCCCTGTGGTCATCGTCTAATTTTGCCATGCAGCCGGTTACAGCTGCTCCCTTCGCGCCACCCGTTCCTTACGGCGCGATGGCGTCAGCCATCGGTCAGCTGTACGTCCAGTTCCTACCGATGGTGGCCTCAACTCCCTGCAGCACCGGCGGTGTTCCTTTCTTGACCGTCGCCAAGCAACCGTCACCCACCGAAGCGGACATCGCCGCTGTTGCCTTCGCCGCTGCTGCGGCCTCCGCCACCTCATCTACAATCCGCCCGTCGCCATGGTCATCGTGTGGTACCGGTCCTTCGACAGTCTGTCGATATGCGTCGCTTGCCGCCGCTGTGGCCGCTGCAGGCCCTCATCCTCCACCCCCTCCGCAAGGTGCGACGGTCATTGCCGTCTCACCTCCGGCCCGCAAGTGCCGTCGCTGTCAGTGTCCGAATTGCCTGAAGCCCGAGCCGGCGGCCGACGCGAACGGTCGACGCGTGCACATGTGCTGTTTTCCCGGCTGCGGCAAGTCATACGGCAAGACCTCTCACTTGAAGGCTCATCTCCGTTGGCACGCCGGAGAGAAACCGTTCATTTGCAACTGGTTGTTCTGCGGTAAGAGGTTCACCCGCAGCGACGAACTGCAACGGCACCTACGCACCCATACCGGAGACAAACGGTTCGCTTGTGCCCAATGCGGCAAACGGTTCATGCGTTCCGACCACCTGAACAAACACACCCGCACCCATACGACCCCGACCCCAACCGCAGTGACCATGGGGTCCACCAACACGCCAACGACGACCGGCGCACCCCTGACCACTGCCATCGTCAGATGATGATGATTTGATTTGGAGGCTAACTGATTACTGATGGACTGATGTGATGTGCATGAACGATCAGCAGTCGGTCGGTCGGTTGGCCGGTCGGGTGGGGTGGTCTTCACCGTCGTCGTCCTCGTTTG